GCGAATCAAATCAATAAATATTTTAAGTCTATTTTCTTAAGAATTTGCTTAGCAAAACAACTTCATAATAAATGTAACAAAATGTAGAATGGTGACAACATCTCCGTACAGTGTTTGAAATTAAAATTTTGTTATAAAATTATTTATAAATTATACAAAACTTAATTTAAATAAAAGAGTAACAAATTTAAGTTGTCTCTGAGTCACGGTAACCAACTAGTTATAGATCATTATGTTGTGGAAGAATGATACATTGATCAGGGGAAGATATAAGACATCGTAAGATTCGCATAGCAGTATCACAATGGTCTTGGAGTGGAGTTTGCATGAATTGAATTAGAATATAAACTGATTAGATTAATTCAGGCCTAGTGATAGATAAGTAAATCAGGCTTCCAACTAATCTTTTGTACCTTGACGATTCTAATAGTGGAGATCCCTTGGCCAAAGCAAGTTTGTAATTTTTCCATTGAAAACAAAGAAGACTTACAACCAAGCATTTCACGTTCTTGTATAATTTTTAAGGTGTGTTTTCTTTGACAAAGGAATATCCTTTCTGACCCCCGTGCTAGTTCCAGACCTAGGAAGTATTTAAGCGAACCAAGATCCTTCATGTGGAAACATTGACTGAGATATTGCTTGAACTGATCACATACCTCAAGGTTATTACTAGCAATGGTCAAGTCATTGACATAGATAAAAAAAACAAGAAAAATTGATCCATATGAATAAGTAAATAGACTATGATCAGACTAGATGTCTTGGAAACCATATTTTATCAAAGATTGAGATAGCTTGCTATATTAATTTCTATATGCTTGTTTCAAGGCATACAATGACTTTTTTTAATCTGCATACCAAATCTTTGTTTGGAACTTTATATCCTTACGGAGGACTCATATATACTTCTTCTATCATGCAAGAAGGAATTCCTAACATCCATTTGATGTAATTTCACCCTTTCGCCACTAAAATTGTAACAAGCATTTGACTATGGTCATTTTGGCCACTGGTGCAAAAGTTTCATTGAAGTCGTCACCTTATAGTTGTGTGTAACCTTTAGCAACTAATCTAGTCTTGTACTTTTCAAGCTCACTTGTAGCTTTATGTTTGATTTTGTACACCTATATATATCCTACCAATTTTCTTTCTTGCGGTAAATGAGTTAGTTCCTATGTCTCATTGTCTTCTAGAGACTTGATTTCTTGAGCCATAACCTCTCTCCAAATTGTGTGCTTGACTGCTTGGGTATATAATTGAGGTTATTTGTCATTAGTGATGACTACAAGGTAAGCTCTATGTTTTTGTGAAAACTTATCATATTTTAAAATTTTTGAAATGGGATATGTGATACCTTAAGAGGACTCTGGAATTGATTCCATGCACTTGGGGTATATGTTTAATTTGCCACAATCACCATCTTTTAGATAATTTGGAGGTCGTCTTATGTGTGGCATGTTCTGAGGCTCCCTCTCATTTGAGATTTCTCCTTCACTTTCACTTGATGATTATTTTTTAGAATCATTGGTGACTTCCTCATTCATGTCATCTATGGATACATGTTCTTTCTCTATAGACTCACTCTCAGTTTGACTTGTGTATTCTTGTTCCTTAATGGGTAAACTTTCCATAGGACTTGATGTTTGGTCATTATGAGGAATTTTCCCAAGGCTTAATAATTCCAATTCTGCATCATTATATAGTGAAGGCTCATCATTGAAGTTATAACTTTATGAGTTTTTTCTAAAATTAGTAGACTTATTATTGTCTTGTACATGGTAAGGAAAGATATGCTCAAAAATGTTATATCTCTTTATATACAACATTCACAAGTCTTTGGATTGTAAATTTTCCATCCTTTTTTACCTTGTGGATAACCAATAAAAATACACCTTTCAACTCTAGGATCAAATTTACTGATTCCCTTTGAGTCATTTTTCTTGTAGCACAAGCAGCCAAAAATTCTCAAGTACTCGTAGTCTGGTGCTATCTGAAAAAGTAACTCGTATGAAGTGATTCCCTTATTTACCACTGTAGGGGTTTTATTGACTAGATGCAGTGTTGTCAACACACAATCTCCCCAAAAATGCAATGGGGAATTTTCTTGAAAATACAACGGTCATGCTATGTTCAAAATTTGTCTATGCTTGTGTTCCCCCACGTCCATTCTGTTGAGATGTGGCAACACAAGAAATTTCATGAACTATCCCTTCTTTTTGAGTGAAGCACTTGAAATAAGAGTTAGTAAACTCTGTCCAACTGTCACTCTTAATCCTCTTGATATGCATATTAAACTGCCTTTTGATTAGATTGATAAAACTAATCAAATGTTGTAAAGTCTTTGTCTTGTGTTTCATCAAATATACCCATGTGCTACGAGTGTAGTCATCTATAATGGTTAGAAATTAATGTGATCTATTGTTTGTGGCGGTATGATATTTCTCCCATAAGTCACAATGAATCAACTCAAAAGGTGCTTCAGCTTTATTAATACTTAAAGGAAAAAGGTGTCTACATTGTTTTGCCTTGTGGCGTACATCACAATAGTTTGCTCTATCAAAATTGAATTTGACTAAATGTGAAATATGCTGAAAAACTTGATATAAGGTCTCATTATGATGTGCCTTAAAGTTGTCATGTCCTTCTTAGCTGCACCCATGAAGCCTTGTTGATGTTGCTTTGTGAACACATAAACCTCTTCATGCAGATCACCTGATCCAATCTTTCTCTTCAAGGCTTGGTCATATATTGTGCAAGAATTTTGATCATAGATCATATAACAATTTAAATCATATGTTAGTTTATGAATTGAGATCAGATTGCATTTAAAGTCAGGAACCAATAACACATCTTTTAACGTAAGGGAACTTGATAAATTTGCATCTCTCATATTTTCAACTATGGTTGAAATCCCTGTTGATGTAGTTATATAGAAAGTTTTATCTAATTTTCTGATTTTCTTCTACATTGAGGTTAAAGGAGTCATGTGGTGTGAAGCACCACTATCAAATATTCAATTGAAACGATATTCAAATTTACCAATCATGTTTTCATGTGCATTTGCGTGATATTTGGCACGAACTCCATGCAGGGCATGTCCTGGTGTTGCTGCTTTTGGATATTCTTTTCTCTCAGCGGCTTGAGCATAATTTGCTACTTGTTATCCTCTTGATTTGTTAGGTTCTCGCCTCTGAGTTCTTCGTGATTCCCAAATTGCTGGATATCCAACAATCTCAAAGTATTTTGCCTTGACATGTCCAGTTTTCTCACAGGGATCACACTTTAATCTTGAGTGATTTCTTTCCTCTTTTCCTCTCTTCACCTGAGCAAAACGCAGATGCATTTTCCATCTTGAAATCTCTTTTCTTATCTGCTGCAAAACGAGATTCTTATCTTTGCATTTGATTAAAGACACGCCTAAGAGAGGATAATGAATCAATATTAAGTATGATTTCCTTGATATTAGAGTATTGTTCACTATCAAAGCCTCCAACAAAAAAATGGACATGTTGTTCTTCTTCCCTTTGTGTCAATACGTTAGCAGCTCCGCAACTGCATTCAGGTAGGATTTGCAATTCACTTAATTCATCAACAAGACTTTGAATTGAGTGTAGTAATTTGTTACATTTGTTTCTGATTGTTTCTACATTAAACACAAGTTTCTCCACAACTGATGGATTTGTGGTGCATTGATCTGAGCAAAGCGTTCTTCAAGTTTCTACACATCTTGAGTCGTTGAAGCATGTGAGATGTTGTGTAGATTTGATTTTGTCACATTGATCAATCAAGTTGCCACCATTGAATCTGCCTTCTCACAGTCATGATACACTTCAGATTGATTTGATGGTTTCTTAACGCTTCTATCAATGAAACTCAATTTTGTCTTCGCACGCAAAACTGTCTTGATCAATATGTGCAGTAATTTTCTCTATTCAGCAATGTTGTCTCGAGTGGAGTTTTAAGATTATCAGAGTTATTTACATGATAAGCTTGTATGTTCTTTGTTTCAAATTTGCAGGTATTTTTCTTCCCTAATATTTCTTTTAAATCGGAACCGTGCTCGGATGCCATAATAGAAAATTAATTGGAAAAATAAGTTTATTCTTATTGTTTTTTATGATACATGACATACATTTATATATAGACTAATGATCTATCATTCAGAGTTTGAAAATAAGATTGACCCTAACAAACATTAACAAACCCTAACAAACTATTAAGTTTATCTTTAAAATCTCTAATAATGTTAAATTAATTTCACATCTTTTACCAAATTTTGATTGTGTAAAAGTCATTTGATTTGTAAGGGTGTTTCATGGACGAAAATGGTGTTTCAGGGGTGTAACGGCTATAACGACATTTTGTCGCGTAATGATGTTTCAGTTGTGATTTTTTTCTCAATCTTAAAACGGCTAATATCGGTATCGGAAGGCTTTGATACCATTTTTTCACAGCCATATTTGCAATCGTGGACCATTTTCTAAAACCTTGATAACTATATCCACCCAGCTCTAAGTCTAAATAGGTTGTCCTTCATGTCCTTTATAGAGTCATTCAACAAATTCAAAACATACATAGATCCGAGTCCAAGATAACCCGTGGCAGCGAGACATTTTTTAATGAAACTTATAACCAAAAAGCTTCTATTTATGTCTCAAGTGATTTATTCGACCGTATTCAGTTACAAGCATTGAAACTTCCAACACATAGTGCTTTCCATTTACTATCCATATTTAGTAAACGCCATACCTTAAACCATCTCAAAAGCCACCTTACTCAATCTTTTCATATATAAATATTTCTTGTTTCAATCTTAACATTTCAACCTTCTCTTAGTGCTCAGTTTCATCCCAAGAGGTACGTTACTTCTCACATGATTAACACCATCATCATATATAGCTAACATAAACATGAATTATAAGTAGTATAGTAATATTTTCTTGATATAGTATTTACCATCATTTGCTTTTAATTTATTGTTGCTATAAACAGATATCAACATGAAATTCCCATCACAAAATTCGAAGCTTTCATGGAGAATACTAGTACTAGTGTTTCTGTCAAGCACATCATTCTCATCAGCTGGTATTAGAAAAAATATTCAAACAAAAGTTTTCTTGTCTCCCAAGATTGAGCTAAGTCCAGGATCAGTTTCAAATAAAATATACCATGATGTTGATTTTCCTAGAGGTCATATTTCAGTCAAGAGTTTCAATGCTGAACTAGTCGATGAATCAGGGAAATCAGTACCTCTCCATCAAACTTATCTACACCATTGGGTTGCCGTACGATACCATCAACCTATAAACGCGACAAACAATAGCCAAAATGGTATTGTTTTTGTAAGAAATAGTGGTTTCTGTCAAGACAATGTTTTTGGACAATACTATGGTCTTGGATCTGAAACAAGAGGCATAAAAACATATATTCCTGATCCTTATGGGATAGAAGTTGGTAATCCTGAAGAAATTCCAAAAGGGTATGAGGAAAAATGGTTGATCAACGTTCATGCTATTGATACAAGAGGTGTGGAAGATAGAATGGGATGCACCGAGTGTAAATGTGATTTGTACAATGTTACGGAGAATTTGAGTCCGGATTATAAAGGTGGTTTGCAATGTTGTCCTGATAATGGTAACTGTAAGCCGATGAAAGGGTTCTTAGGCTCCAAACAAAAACTTTATTTGAAATACACAGTTATGTGGATCAATTGGGAAGAGTTTATGGTACCTGTCAAGATTTATATATTTGATGTGACTGATACTTTGAAGATTTCGGATAAGTCCAATGGAATGAGTCTAAAGCATGATTGCAAGGTAACTCAAATCAAAAGATAATAACTCATTTTAGTATTTATATATTATTATACTATTTCATGTGTGAGTAACAGATTCCTTGCTACAAATTGAGTATGAAGTTGAACCTTGCAGCACAAGTAATCTGAATGGAAGTGGCTGTGTTGATGTCAAGAGAACAAGCTTCCCGATGCAAACCGGTGGTTATGTTGTCTATGGAGTCGGTCATCAGCATGCAGGTGCAGTTGGATTAACTCTATATGGACAGGTAACATTACAGAATGGTCAATTACGTTCGGTAGATGATTCGAGTTTGATTATCATTGAAATTTTGGTTGTGGCAATGTCAGGATGGGAGGGCTATATGTACTTCAATCCCAAAGTATGGAAAAGGAAAAGGAGCAGGAAATGAGAAAGGGTATGTTGTAGGAATGTCCACTTGTTACCCTAAACCAGGTTCCATCAAGATATCTGAAGGTGAAACCTTAACTCTAGAGGCTAACCACAGTAGCAGCATAAGGCATTCTGGTGTAATGGGACTTTTCTATTTCTTGCTGGCAGAAAAGTTACCACACCACCATGTCTAATGTTTCTATCATTCTTTGAAGGCTAAATTTGAATATCTAAATTTCTGTTTGATTTTTGTTATCATTTAGTTGTTTATGTATTATGTTGTATTCAGTTATTTCAGTACACTTTTGATATCTCTGTCTTGTGTAAATTTTATAGAAGCACAATTCAATGAGTCAATGACAGCATATTCACAACTCACCAAAGAACTACAATCAAATCATATATTTATGTAGGTTTATTTCCGTAATAATATATTTATCAATGTTTACTTCCGTAATTATTAGTAGGGGTATGCAAAATTGAATGGATTGAATAAATATGGATTGGATTGTTAATTGATGGATTAAAACAATTCATTAGTCCATTAACAATCCACTAAAATTATTCAATCCAATTCATCGATTAAGAATAAAATTCATCAAATCCATCCATTAACATATTTTTAATGGATGGATATTCATCCATCCAACTTTTTTTTATTTAGAAAAAATAAATGTATTTTTTAATTTGTAAAATTCGATTTTATTTTATTTTCAAAAAATTCATTTTTTGTATTTTAAAAAAATTGTTTTTTAATGTATTCATGAAAAAAATTGAATTTTTTGTTAAAAATAAATCATTTTTTATATTTTTAAAAAAAATTGATATTTTAATTTTTGAAAAATGTAGATTTTTTTTTCAAAAATAAAGTCGGTTTTTTTAGGGAAAATTTTTTCCTGTTTTTATAAAAAAAGAAATTGATTTTTTGTTTCGGAAAAAATCGTTTTTTTTTTCGAAAAAAACCGTTTTTTTTATAAAAAAATCGGTTTTCTTCAGGAAAAAAATTGATTTTTTTTTCTGAATAAAAAATTGATTTTTTTTCTGAAAAAAAATTGATTTTTTTCTCTGAATAAAAAATTGATTTTTTTTTTCTGAATAAAAAATCGATTTTTTTTCTGAAAAACAAATCAGTTTTTTATTTTGTAAAAATAACCGATTTTTTAAAAAAAAAACAGATCTTTTTTTTTTGGAAAAAAAACAATTTTTTTTAAAAACCTGTTTTTTTTTTAGAAAAATTTCGCTTTTTTATTGAAAAAAAAAATCAATTCTTTTCTTTTAAAAAAATTATTTTTAATTATTTTAAAAAAAATAAATCTAACGAAAATAAAAATAATTCATTGGATTCTTAAAATATGTTAGATGGATTGAATCCATCCATGCATATAAATGGATGTATTTAATCTAATCAATTATCTTATTTTTTATGTGGTGGATGGATTGGATGGATTTTGCCTTAATGGATTCAATTGTCACCTCTAATGTATGGCATAAAACATATGTCATTCGGCATGATGCGCTCAAGTGCAATCCGAAAAGGCTCAATCATTTGATTTCCCCTAAGTGGGAAAATGGAGCACGAATGTGGAAATTCTTCAAAGTAGTCCTCAACATATTCTCAGACATAGAGATGTGAAAAATATTGGTGGATTCATGTCTGAAAATAGTTCATATGAAATATCAGTAACAGTCTAACACATGTATTATGAGATTAATATCAGGAAGGGTAAAAAAATTACCGTAAATAGACATATATTTCTTGTCAACCATTTTGTCTTCCATTGACTACCTTCAGCTAACATGGAGTAGTACACCAAACAAAATACCTCTCGGTTGTACTCGTGAATCCTCTCCAAATCAATAAATATATAATATAGACAATGTCGACATAGGTCGCACTTTTCTCAATAAAAAAATATTTGTCTACCAAAATCATGAAATATGACCTCAAATGCACATATTATATGATATGCAATGCAATTCGTGCATCAATACTTACAACATCCACAATTGCATTCAGGCGGTCAACATAGTTTTTCATGAGGACAAAAATATGGTGTCATCTATCTCCTTTTGAGCTTTACCCAAATCAATTCCTAAACCATTCGCCATTAGGTCCTATACATCATGCATATTGATTTTAGAGTGATTTAATAATTTCCTTGTGATCGGAAGATGTATAAGGCATGATATAACCATCAAATGTGATGGTTATCTCGCCGATCAGAAGATGAAATGACCACGTCTTTGCGTGCCATCTCTCAGCAAACATAGACAATAAATCATGGTTAACATAATCATATCTAGTCATACAAAAATCCTCCAGTTTGGATAGCTACAAGACATCCTAAAGCCATGGTTGATCAGGTTGTAGAAGCTTTGCCACATTCATGTCATAGTTGATACATTTCAACATCTCTCGATATTGCAAAACTAAATACATTCCTGTTAGACAATTCAATTGTTATAACACATATGCTTAACACAGACAATTCAATTATTTATATTATCTCTCCCTCCCACACGTGTCTGATAACATGGTGTGCATAGTGAAAGGTATGACGGGCCTCTAGAAAAAACTATCAGGCATGGTAGTATTAGGTTCAGCATCGGGTACGTCGGGATTTACTGAAGCAACGAGGGCTTTGTAATGATTCAATGATACAGATCCCGAGAAGACGGTTCTTCAGCAGAGGACAGTACTCCAACCACGGGTCGCGAGGATCTAGCTTTCACGCTGCGCACTCATGCATGTTAGACCACTCTACCATGTCTTAACCTGTCATGGTTTCTAAAATGCATATCATAATCAACGAATCATAAACAAAGTATTAGCAAACCAAAATTCAAAACACTCCACAAAACAGAGAAACCTGGATTTTGTTATCCGAACTAAGGTTCCAAATTTCAAAATCCATATTGCAGAGAACCAGAAAACGAAAATAGAAACAAAGCATTACAAACCCTGTGCCTCAAATATTCAAAATTCCTATCAAATCAAATTACGAAGAAAAAAACAAATATAACAGGCACAAATATTCAAAATTCCTATCAAATCAAATTACAAAGAAAAAAACAAATATATCAACTTTATTGCATGTAACCTAATGTAACATTACTCTAATAATTCTAAGAAATGCATGCATTTCAAATCAAAAATATAAGAAAATGAGAAACTTATCAAATTATCAAATGTGAGAGACAAATAATCTTAACTTGACTGTAATGGGGTAGAAGTTGAGAGAAGTGTTAAGCATTTGAATATATTGGAGTTGAAATTATGAGAAAGATTGAAAAATCTTAGAACTAAGTTCTATTTCAACTGATTCATATTTGATGAAATGAAGGAGAAGCATGAGGGAAAGATAGGGCGTGAATACATAAATGAACACATACAGATTTCAATCTCCATAAGGTAAATTCAAAGTTTCAAATCCAAACTTTTTTAAAACTATTTTTTCTCGATTTTGAGATGGTTTGGGATACGCTCGGATTCCAAAATCCGATTTTTTTTTATTTTACCTTTGACTTGGCTTGATTTTGAGTTGTGTTTATTGTGTATTTGACACATCCAAAGATTGGAATCCGGATTTTAAGAGTAATTTTGAAGTTAAAGCTAGAAAGAAAACAGAAAGCAAAGCGTCACAATAGCTAAACAGATTGTCAAGGTTGTTAGGATATATATATATATATATATATATATATATATATATATATATATATATATATATATATATATATATACTAACTGCATAGTTTTAATGTCTTTGATCAATTAGATGTTGATGAAAAGTGAAACCAAAGACAGCCAGAATGAAACATTAGGGCAGTCCCCAACCATATATTGAACTAATTGTAGAACTAAAGGGCATTGCCAAACCAATCTCTAGAACCTAATAAATAAACCAATTTCCTTCACATATGGTATATGACAAAAGAGAATATTTGTTTAGATTAACTTGCTCTCCATTTTAGAAGCAGTTTAGATTAACTTTCTCCAAAATAATTATGATCAAAATGATCAAAATTTTGCAACCCTTGATATCAGTTTTGAATTTACATCCCGCTATTTTTACAATTCCTGAGATATACACAAGTCATGTATACCAATTTACCTTAAGTTTACTTCAAGGAATTCAAAACGCCTTTGCAGGCTAGCCTTGTGGCTGTTTTCTTGTCAGCAGAGCCTATGTACTCATATGGGTGAACTACCCCGTCAGCTATTACTTTGATTTTACAGCTAGTAACGTCGTCCTTCCGGGACAAGGTCTTCTCCATAGTATAATTCATTTTTTGACAAAGTTCGGTTAATTCTCTAATGGGATGAATTGTTAATGTATTTGGTGTCACGAGAGGTTCCAAAAGAGGCCTTATACTTCGCCACACAACCTCCTTGTTGTATCCCGAATCAACTAGTATAGCACCAGCTAGAGATTCTATGATGTCCCCAAGTACCTGCAGACAGACATAGATGGCAGAACTATTACATGTGTTACAACATAGAGACGCGCAATATAAAAAGTGTCTCTCTGTGGTGTTGTTTAAACACACAGCTTCATCATGTTTTTTGGTTTTCTCTCTATTTTCACATTAAGGATGAACACAAACTACTACATTTTATAGAAAACCTCGCATTAAAGTAGTGTTTTCCTTGTTCGAACACTATGAAGTAATAGCATTATTCTAAGATTTCGACAAACTAACCTTGGGGAATGATGCCTCGGACTCCCATCCAAAAGTTGAGGAAGACTGTTGGTTAAGTTTATCAAGCGTAGCTACAATATGTTTATGTAACTCCTGAGAGGCGTGGAGTACATGCTTATGCAATTGAACCTTTATGGCAGACATTGCATAACAGTCATTATTGACCGAGGCTGACCTCATGTCAGTTAACTGACCAGGTGACATGCCAGGATATTCTTTATACAAATGCATAGTTATTAAATAGTCCAACGCCGCGTCTCCGAGGTATTCAAGTCGCTGCAGGGAAAGAAATACATCATACAAAAATTTAGACAAATTGGTCCTATTTGGGTAAATAACCAACATAATAAAGCATTTATATCAGAAATTGCATTAACAATTTCTACAACAAAAGACAAACTAAGTTGTTTATGCAAATAAGCTAAAAACAGCTTACGGTCATGTCATAAGTTGTTTCCATAAACTCTCCAAAACAGTCATGAAGAAGATAGTG